ACTCACTTACTCACTTACTCACTTACTTACTTACTTACTTACTTACTTACTTACTTACTTACTTACTAACTTACTAAATGTTATATAACAAATGATTATTTTAGAAATACAAATAACCTTTGCCAAATAAGGTTTATGGAGAGTGTAGAATATATAAAACTTTTACTCTCTGTCAACAACCCTCTCATCTGTTAAATCTTTAATATTCTTTTTATCACAATTCAGAAAATGGGGTAATAAAATACCCTGACTAAAAATCAATTTTTTAAATTTAAAATAAGAAAAAAAAATAAAGAAAAAGATAAAGTCAATTATCTGTTACTCTTTCCACACCAAAATCAAAGAATAACAAAAAATTCTGACTTAATTCTCTTGACTTGAAAGTTGGCCAGCTGTCATGAGAAGAATGCACTTAGTAACTTCACCTTTAAACTAGTTCACATTTAAAGTTTTACTTTTGGGGTCGGTTAAAATGCTAATGAGGGCCACATTTGGCCCACGATCCTTGAGTTCCACACATGGATTTAAGGCTATATCCAGAACATGACTGCCGTTTTGCAAACCAACGTATTGATTCAAAGCAAATATTTCCAAAGGGAAGGGGGTCATGTAGCATCAAAGACCATAATTGTCTCAAAAATGGATTGCTGCTATCGTGTAATATCTCGTGTTTCAGAAATTATCAACACAGAACTTGACTTTGATCCAATATGGCGGCTTTCAAGATGGCAGCCATGTTCAGGAGACTAAAAGCTAGTTTCCCTCACTTGTTATTTCCTGGGGCAGTCAGATATTTCATTTTCCTTTTCAGCTCTGAAATGAATGTGTCCTCCTGATACTTTCTACTCAACCTGTATACATTTTAAATCAGTAGATATATTTAGTTTCACATGAAAACTGGAAGCAGAGGAAACACTCTACACGGTTCAGCCTGAAATAAATAAAAGCAAAATCTGCCAGCCAATGCATTAGTTATTTAATGTTATTTTTGCATTTGTTTTTCTCTGTTTCATATTGCCTACAATGTTGTTAAAGAAATATCTGAGGTAGCTGAGGTGAGACAGCTTAAGAGGTGACATGGGGAATTGAGAGACTTCAGACTAGAGCTCAGAGGTCAGGGAGAATATTACACAGGAGGAGACGCAGCAGGAACAAGCTGCTCGCCAACTGAAAGAAAAACAAGGAAAGTTGATCAAATGAGACAGGAGGACAAATAGAAGGACAACCAAACTGAAGAGTAAACACTCAAGGCATGCTAACAAAAGAATACGTAGGCACTTTAGAAAGAAAATAAACATTTGAAATAAAAAACTTAAAAAGCCAATAATTGTTATTTTGACATCATTCATTGCTATTTATATTAATTAAACTGTATTAAGGAGCAAGTGTGACTTGTTAAAACAATTTGGTTGTGTAGCTTTTCAGTGCATTTATCCTCCTATATCTTTTCAACAGGAGGCTCCGATGTGCCAGAAACTTCATTCACATCCAGCTCTTTCTTACTTTTATTRTGAAATCTGTGGCGGTTTTCATAAAAGACGCTACTTTGTTCTCAAACGATGACACCAACCACTGCACCCTCTCCACGGTGAGATAAGGAGTAAATATTGGGTTGTAGCTCAAAAATTCTTCAGAGGCGTTCATTTTTTGCTTCTCTTTCTTTCCTTTTTTAAAACAACTGTCCAGTTCGCCTGCAAGGCTTCTGTTGTTTTCTGTCACTACTGTGTGATGGCTAATTTCCTTTGGCTCCTGGTGGAGGCGCTCTACCTCAATTCGCTGCTGCTTTCCTCCTTCTATCACAGCCGTCGATGCCTCTGGGGCTTCGGCCTGCTCGGGTGGGGTGAGATACCTCTCTATTGCAATATTAGAATGTTTGAGACCTAAAAATGTGCTGTATACAGAAGTCAAACCTTTTTTAATGAATAAATGTAAAATAGAGGTTTTATGTGAATGGCAGCTTTGCTGTTTATCATGTTTATGCCATCTGTACGTTTTGTGCAGAGCTTTTCTAAACCCGTTTCTGTCAACTGTGTAAAAAAATTGTTTTATGTCAGCATCTCAACATTAACATCCAAATGGATGTATACTTAATTCTCAGGTTTTTGTTTTCTTTTACTTTAACATTCTATATACTTTACTGTAGGATTGGTGTTTTGGATTATATGGTGCTCTGCATAAAACAGCCACTGTCATGTTTCCCTGCAATTAGGATTATATTTTCCCTACCAGTGCATAGATTAACAAATCAAAACAATGAATTGCATTTTTTTTATAAAACACATCGAGCCTGATCCAAAACCAAGTACTTGCTGAGTTGGACCTAAAACATAAGGACTTTTAAAAACATTTCTTTTATTTAGAACAAGATGTCTCTCCTTCCTTATAGGTTCAGCCTGATTTTGAGAATGGGTTCTCTGCAGACTCAAAGTAGGCGTTTCTCAAGCCTGAACACTGATTGATTACGTGTATTTGCTCTGTTTTTTTTTAAGGTTGGTTCTTTTATTTCGTTTTTCTTTCACTTTTGATTTTAACTACATTCACATTATTTTTTTAATCAAATTGCAATGTATCATTAAAAACAAACATTTAGTTCTCTCTA